CCCCCCCCCCCCACACACTTTTTCTTTTTTTGGTCTCAAATCCTAGCAGCCGTGTTCATAGGCTTTTTGAGGCTTACGGGCCATTTTTTAATTACCGAAATATAGCGATACAAATATGTTTAACAATGTATGAGCTAGAACAACATGAAAAAATCAACAACAACAGTTCATATACAACACATTTGATCTACAACATATTTGATTTACAACATATTTGATATACAACATATTTGATATACAACATATTTGATATACAACATATTTGATATACAATTGTTTAAAGATCGTATTTGTAATCTTAAATGACCCACTTCTGGTACGTCGATGTCATTGCATAAACTTGAGGCCCATGTGAATGATATGTTTTAAATAGGTGTAATGGCCACGGCTGACCCGACACACCCGTACATTTACCCAGTTTCCGCACATTTACCCGGTTCCCGTACATTCACCCAGTTCCCGTACATTTACCCAGTTCCACCATACACAAGCGCCGGTCAGCACTGAGACAAGACGACCGTTTAGCTCATGTGAATGGGACCTGCCTGGAGTTCAAAACAACTTTGTTACGTTGATTTAATGAGAAATGAACAGATGTCCGGCACATATAGTATCTCATTTAGGGGGAGGAAAAAAAAGGGGGGGGGGGTTGGGGGGGGGGCGACGTTCACATCTGAAATCAAATTATGTGTTCGCGTCCTGACACTTATAATAACAACGAGTAGGGACGCATCTCCAGGCACTGACCTTGACTAGGGACTTCTCCACGTCATCATTGACCAGGTCGATGCCCTGGCGCTTCTCTCGGTTCATCAGACATTCCTCGGCGATGTGGAGTGGGTTGGCCGTGTCGGCAAACGCCTTTTCACACGTACGCTTGTACTCCTGGCACGGGGTGGTTTCGGGGGTTGGGGGGGGGTTAGGATTAAAAGTTACAAAAATATTAATGTATGTTTTAAAAGTTTGACTTCTATATATATAATAACTTTAAAAAATCCAAGGACAGCCAAAACCTTTATTTGTCCCTCTCACGATGATCATCAATAATCAGTAATGAAAATATAGCAATCACCATTGTGTAACAAATTTTTTAAAAAAAAGTATTGAAACTTAATTACCGTAACAATAGTTATTGTTAAGCATGGAAATAATATAATATTAAAAAAAAAAAAATTAATAATAGTAAAAATTTACTTTAAAAGAATTTATTAAGGTACGTAACTCATAAAATCAATTACAGATATCAAGTGCGCGAATTGCTTTCCCTTACTGAAATAATAAGTTAAGAGCTCGGTCAGTTCAACTCATAAAGTATAAAATATGAAGGATTGCATTCAATCGCGTAAAGGAAATAAATATTGGCACAAGATTTGTCTGGCTTGGGAAAAAACAACAACACAACAACAAAAAACCAAGACGGTTAAGCGGGCGTTTCGGCTAAACGCCTTCTTCAGCAGACGACACCACACAACAATGAACGGATTAATTTAAATTAAGATATAAAACTCATGTTTAACGAAGATCTCACTAAAAGTGAATGTAGGTCAAAGTCCAGAAAGGCAGCCATTAGAAGGAAGACTCATTAGAGGGGGGGGGGGGGTAATGATTTGTTTTGTGATACGTTTACTATATAAAAAAAATAATCTTAATGACATAACCATAATTTTCTTGATGTGCGATGGTATTTTTAACAAGTAATTTAAAATAAATTGTTTTGGCGTAACGCACACTGAAGCTCTGGAGTATTTAAAAAAAAACCAAAAAACTTCAAGGGTAGATCTAATAATTTTGGTAGCTCATTTTAGAGTTGCGCGAGATTTAGAAGTTTGAGAATCATTTCCCTAGTTATTTTTTTTTTAAATATGTAGACATAATGAACAAAAAATAGAAATGAGCCTTAAAGAAATGAAATTAATTATTTAAGAAGGGGCCAGGTGGACCAAACTCTAAAAAAGCAAACAGCTGAAGTCTTATATAACGACCTGAAAATGTCGGGGAGAATTGCTACAATGTTAGTTTAAATTGATGTGACAGCCCTGTGCGAAACATTTCTGGTGAATTATAAAGGTTGTCATAATGCTTTCCTCAAAGGCAGGGGTGGGAGATGGGGAGAGGGGGGCATCACGGCAATCGCTAACACACTTTTCTAGGGGTAATAACATTCTAGAAGCACCCTGGGGCGTTTCTAGGGCCCAATGTTTGTAGAGGACCCAAAGCTTCTACTGGCCACTATCTTTCAGATCTATCTCCCCCTCCCGCCTCCTACCACAAAAACGCACATATAGAAGGTCATGTTTTAAGAAAAGAACTGACAATTACTTTGAAGAGAGCGAGTTAGTAAGCTTCTGTTAGTTTGTGACACGACGGGGCTAACACCAAAAGCAAATATTAAAAATTAAAAAGAATTTTTAAAAAAATCAATATGGAAATTCTACTGATGACAGCTAGACTACAATGAAATAAAGTCAAATACAAACAACAAGACAGAACAGTAACAACAAAAAATGAAATGAAACTCAGTGAGTCTGCTATAAACAGAAAGTATTTGACCTGATGGCTTCTGGTGTTTATTACATAAACATTCCCCACTCCCTTCCGGTAGACTAAGTGGCACCCCTTAATGAGTTTTGAGAGTTATGAGCGACCGAAAGCGATTTTCTGGTTTCGGCCGAAACCGAAAGTTAAAAATGACTCCCGGCCGAAACCAAAGGCTTAACGAGACTTTCCGGCGGAGGGATGCCCTTACTGATAATGGGATAGAATCGGGGACGAAATAGCTACATCGGATCACCCACTTCAGTCGGTAGGATTGGTCTAATCATCAGTGGGATGCACATGATCTCCACAACTTGTCCATGATGAAGGTACGTGTCATATGGTCACTAACTTGCGTCCACATTTATGATATTTCTACCATGCGCCTCACCAACCATCGGTTAATGACGTAACAACTGAACGGAAATATTTGATGGTTACCTTCAAGTTTTCAATTTCTGCCGCCATGGCGTTTATCTCATTGTTGAGCTCACTCTTCCAGAAGCTGATGTCATACACGCGCTCACCTGGGGAGCCGAGGATGTAGACATATTGCTTGGGGTGCAGATTGGGGGTGCCAAGATATTGGTGGGGGTGGAGGATGAAGTGCCAAACTTAAGAGATCTTGGTGGTGTGGACGACGATATGCTAAACTTTAGATAATGATGAGGTGGATGAGGTGCTAAACTTTAGATATATTGATGGGGGTGGATGAGGTGCTAAACTTTAGATATATTGATGGGGTGGATGAGGTGCTAAACTTTAGATATATTGATGGGGGTGGATGAGGTGCTAAACTTTAGATATACTGATGGGGGGGGATGAGGTGCTAAACTTTAGATATATTGGTGGGGTGGATGAGGTGCTAAACTTTAGATATATTGATGGGGGTGGATGAGGTGCTAAACTTTAGATATATTGGTGGGGTGGATGAGGTGCTAAACTTTAGATATATTGATGGGGGTGGATGAGGTGCTAAACTTTAGATATATTGATGGGGTTGATGAGGTGCTAAACTTTAGATATATTGATGGGGTTGGATGAGGTGCTAAACTTTAGATATATTGATGGGGGTGGATGAGGTGCTAAACTTTAGATATATTGATGGGGTTGGATGAGGTGCTAAACTTTAGATATATTGGTGGGGTGGATGAGGTGCTAAACTTTAGATATATTGATGGGGGTGGATGAGGTGCTAAACTTTAGATATATTGATGGGGTTGGATGAGGTGCTAAACTTTAGATATATTGATGGGGGTGGATGAGGTGCTAAACTTTAGATATATTGATGGGGTTGGATGAGGTGCTAAACTTTAGATATATTGATGGGGTTGGATGAGGTGCTAAACTTTAGATATATTGGTGGGGTGGATGAGGTGCTAAACTTTAGATATATTGATGGGGGTGGATGAGGTGCTAAACTTTAGATATATTGATGGGGTTGGATGAGGTGCTAAACTTTAGATATATTGATGGGGTTGGATGAGGTTCTAAACTTTAGATATATTGATGGGGGTGGATGAGGTGCTAAACTTTAGATATATTGATGGGGTTGGATGAGGTGCTAAACTTTAGATATATTGATGGGGTTGGATGAGGTGCTAAACTTTAGATATATTGATGGGGTTGGATGAGGTGCTAAACTTTAGATATATTGATGGGGTTGGATGAGGTGCTAAACTTTAGATATATTGATGGGGTGGATGAGGTGCTAAACTTTAGATATATTGATGGGGGTGGATGAGGTGCTAAACTTTAGATATATTGATGGGGGTGGATGAGGTTCTAAACTTTAGATATATTGATGGGGGTGGATGAGGTGCTAAACTTTAGATATATTGATGGGGGTGGATGAGGTGCTAAACTTTAGATATATTGGTGGGGTGGATGAGGTGCTAAACTTTAGATATATTGATGGGGTTGGATGAGGTGCTAAACTTTAGATATATTGGTTGGGGTGGATGAGGTGCTAAACTTTAGATATATTGGTGGGGTGCAAATTGAAGAATCGATAATTCTAGTAGTTTAAAGGGTGGTATAACTCTTTAATTGGCTTTTCCGACTAAGCTAAATTTTAAATGCCATTCATGTTTAAGATGTAAAGCGACTATATGTGACAGCAGTGACAGTTCAGATGGACAAATTTAGAACTTCATATAATATTTTTGTAGCCCACTCATTTATAGAATGTATATATATTCAGTATTTATTTCATTAGTTTAATTGAATGTTTCAAACTTAGAAGCAACTGGAGTATTTTTACGAGTTTCAAATGGTTTTTTTAATATTTTTTTCTATATCGTTCTTGTGCAGATAAGAATAAAAAAAAAAAAATAAAAGAACCTTTTTAAGTAAAAATTTGATGTTTAATGAAAAGATGTGGACTAGACTTAACACACGGTAGCATTGTTGTTACATGTGCTGTTGATACGGCACTCAATGCCACCTTTCTCATGGGATGTGTACAGAATTGTAGCTCTGAAGTCTTAAACAAACCAGGGACGGAGGCGTTGAATGTAATTCCCCAAAACCCTTCAGAGTAGGGCTTACACCACACAAATATACACGCAAAAAAAATATTCATATACTAGAATGTATACCATATAAAATTGGAGCGAATCCTACTTTCTGTATGAAACATGACAAGCTGTAATTGTAGAATAAAAGTGTCAGAACGCAGCCAAAATAAAAAAATACAAATGAAAACAACTAGATAAGCTCCACCTTAGTTGGTGCTAGTAAAAATAAACAATAAGGAGTTTTTGAAAGTGCTATAGTGGACTAGCGGACTATACCGGCGGATAGCCAACCGGGTTCAACGGCGCGCATGCGCAGGGCCTGTAGAGAGTGTGTACAGTTTATCCCGGAGACAAGCATAGGGTCAATGTTATTGAGAGCAAAGAATCTTGCGCGATGCAAGAAAGTACTCATAACATTTTCTTAAAGTTTGTTTAAAAAAAAAAAAATCACAGCTTTATTAAAATTTTCCTTAAATGTCAAGGGCAGCCCTATGAAGCAAATTTGAAAATAGGATCACATACACAAATGATTTCAAGAAAGATATAGAAAATTTAAAAAAATAAAAATAAATAAAGACACACTGACTGTCTATCATATTTTTTTTATTTTTTGGTGATGCTATCTATCACGTCACTCTGTGAGGTTAGTCAATCCACAATGTTATTCGTAAGCTTTAAACTTTTGGTATGGAATGCTCAAAGTATTTTTAGCTTTTTTTTTTATTATAAAAAAGCACAGCATTAATTTTAGATAGACTTATTGCGGTAGGTAAGATATTTGTGATTGCCCAATAATCTTTGTTTCTCTTAATTTTGAGATATTAAATTTCAACTTTTCCATGCCTTGCATGTCTCACGAGAGAGGAGCTTCAACATTTCTGACAGCTTCAAACATTTGAATTAATTTTTATAAACAATTGATACTCTATTATATTTATTAATGTTCACGTTGAGCATTTTATATCAAAGGTTTCTATAGGCCGAGATTTTAAAAAAAAAATCTGACACTGAAAGTTCAAATTAGGATCCCAGACGAATACCTTCAAGTTTTCAAGCTCTGTGGCCATGGCATTAATCTCATTATTTAGCTCCGACTTCCAGAAGGAGATATCTTGCACCCTCTCACCTTTAAACACGAGACACATTGGTGAGACAGACAGGTAGGTGGACACATGGCAGTGTGACAATAGGAATGAGGCATGTTCGATTTTAGGGTAGGGTAAGTACGGACACCACTTGTAGGTCTAGCTTACAGTAAAGACACAAAGAGCACTCTCTGCAAGTTTACTTGGCTCTATTTACATTTTATATGGAGAGCTTTTCACATAAGTCTTCAAACAAAAAAAAATATTAATAATACTAATAATTTTAAAAAATAACAATGAAAGTAAGAAATATACACATGACGTAAGACCGTACCTAGACGCTTGGTGACGTCATTTTGTCTGTTACGGGTGCGCGCGTCCGTTTCCTTGACGGCCCTCCATGCGTCAGCCCGGAGTCGCTCGGCGAAGCTCCTCTCCTTGTCGGACATGGAGTAGTTGACACTGTTGGACAGGAACCAGTCGTTGGGCTGGTATCGGGAGTACACGGTACGTCTGAAACACAGAGATCAGAGGCGTTTTATGTGTCAGAAACACATAGATCAGAGGCGTTTCATGTGTCTGAAACACAGAGATATGAGGCGTTTCATGTGTCTGAAACACAGAGATCAGAGGCGTTTCATGTGTCTGAAACACAGAGATCAGAGGCGTTTCATGTGTCTGAAACACAGTGATCAGAGGCGTTTCATTGTTCTGAAACACAGAGATCAGAGGCGTTTCATGTGTCTGAAACACAGAGATCATAAGTGTTTTATGTGTCTGAAACACATAGGTCAAAGACTTGGCATGTCCGAAAAACGGAAATAATCAGACTTGCCATGTCTGAATAACAAGGATCATGGACCTGTTGAGTCTGAAACACAGAGATCATAAGCCATGTCTGAATAACAAGGATCATGGACCTGTTGAGTCTGAAACACAGAGATCATAAGCCATGTCTGAATAACAAGGATCATGGAACTGTTGAGTCTGAAACACAGAGATCATAAGCCATGTCTGAATAACAAGGATCATGGAACTGTTGAGTCTGAAACACAGAGATCATAAGCCATGTCTGAATAACAAGGATCATGGACCTGTTGAGTCTGAAACACAGAGATCATAAGCCATGTCTGAATAACAAGGATCATGGAACTGTTGAGTCTGAAACGCAGAGATCATAAGCCATGTCTGAATAACAAGGATCATGGACCTGTTGAGTCTGAAGCACAGAGGGGAACGACATTTTTACGGGTTGATTTCCTATTACCATCAGTGCATTCAATTATAATAGTCAATGCATCTCATTAATCTCGTAAAATAGCTTGCATTTTCGAATGGACGCAAACTTACGTGGCAGGGTTAAAGTAGTTCTTGGCGTGCCCCAGGTCCAAGGAGCGTCCATAGCTACCGAGATGGCGGGCGATGGTCTTGTCTGTGACGTAGGGTAAAATTTTGGACATTTCCGGTGTCATCGGGGTTGCACTGCGCGTGCGCACCAAGGCCGGACTGTCGTAGTAAGCCATGCTGGGAAGGAGAGGATGAAACATGGCGGTGTACACGTCGTTAGTTAATGTAACAATGCATTAACAATGGCACAGACCTGGTCAAAGGCTGAGGGGGATGGGCAGGAGAGGGGTGAGACAGGAATACAAAACTTCAGGTAATCGTAAATATGTCAAATAGGTAAATATTGATTGATTTGGGAGCGGGCTTTTTTTTTGGGTGGGGGGGGGTGGGGGGTTTGGGGTAGGGTTGGTGGGTGGCATTTTATAATTCCAAAATAATATTTCTTTTCTAAGTTGACTTTGTTTTTAAAATGCACACTATGTTCGCTGTTCATATCCGGAAATCCATTCATAAACTAACCTAAAACGTCTTTAAAAACATGTGTACTTCTGATACACAAAAAAAAAAAAAAAAAAAAAAAAAAAAAAGAGTGGACACAAATGGTAATACAACTGCAAGCAATTCATGGTGCCGCTTATAAATTTGTATGTGGTGTGGACACAACAACAAAGACACACTTCTGCTTTGAGTCCCGAGTCGTGTTCAGCAAGACAGAAAACAGAGAAAGACAACCGAAGGTGGTCTGGTCGGAGAGCGCGTGACTACACACGACACGTTAAGACACATGGCGCAGGCGGAGAACGCGTGACTACACACGACACGTTAAGACGCATGGCGCAGACGGAGAACGCGTTACTACACACGACACGTTAAGACGCATGGCGCAGGCGGAGAACGCGTTACTACACACGACACGTTAATTTATGTGTCTGAAACACATAGGTCAAAGACTTGGCATGTCCGAAAAACGGAAATAATCAGACTTGCCATGTCTGAATAACAAGGATCATGGACCTGTTGAGTCTGAAACACAGAGATCATAAGCCATGTCTGAATAACAAGGATCATGGACCTGTTGAGTCTGAAACACAGAGATCATAAGCCATGTCTGAATAACAAGGATCATGGACCTGTTGAGTCTGAAACACAGAGATCAGAAGCCATGTCTGAATAACAAGGATCATGGACCTGTTGAGTCTGAAGCACAGAGATCAGAAGCCATGTCTGAATAACAAGGATCATGGACCTGTTGAGTCTGAAACACAGAGATCAGAAGCCATGTCTGAATAACAAGGATCATGGACCTGTTGAGTCTGAAGCACAGAGGGGAACGACATTTTTACGGGTTGATTTCCTATTACCATCAGTGCATTCAATTATAATAGTCAATGCATCTCATTAATCTCGTAAAATAGCTTGCATTTTCGAATGGACGCAAACTTACGTGGCAGGGTTAAAGTAGTTCTTGGCGTGCCCCAGGTCCAAGGAGCGTCCATAGCTACCGAGATGGCGGGCGATGGTCTTGTCTGTGACGTAGGGTAAAATTTTGGACATTTCCGGTGTCATCGGGGTTGCACTGCGCGTGCGCACCAAGGCCGGACTGTCGTAGTAAGCCATGCTGGGAAGGAGAGGATGAAACATGGCGGTGTACACGTCGTTAGTTAATGTAACAATGCATTAACAATGGCACAGACCTGGTCAAAGGCTGAGGGGGATGGGCAGGAGAGGGGTGAGACAGGAATACAAAACTTCAGGTAATCGTAAATATGTCAAATAGGTAAATATTGATTGATTTGGGAGCGGGCTTTTTTTTTTTGGGGGGGGGGGGGGGGGGGTTGGGGTAGGGTTGGTGGGTGGCGTGTTATAATTCCAAAAAAATATTTCTTTTCTAAGTTGACTTTTTTTTTAAAATGCACACTATGTTCGCTGTTCATATCCGGAAATCCATTCATAAACTAACCTAAGACGTCTTTAAAAACATGTGTACTTCTGATACACAAAAAAAAAAAAAAAAAAAAAA